CGCGAACGTGATCTGCGTAGCCAGTCCTGTAATTTTTATCATGTTTTTTATATAGAATACCGGCTTTACAAAAGTTTGGTCAACACTATTGTATCATTTAATTTGAATATATGATCCAATTTTAACTCGTCAAATCGTCGAAAATTTGATCACAGAAGCCATATATCATGTGCTCAAAATTCTCAAATTTTCAAAATTACAACTTACGTAAATAATTGATTTACAGAAACTTACTGCAAATTTACATAAATTGCGAAAAATTACGATAATTTAACAACCTTTAACGTACGTAATTACAGTACATACCAGATACCTAAATTTTGGCATGCGGCATTGCCTAATACTAAAGCTCGTACCGCCATTATGACGGTTTGCAAAAGGTGTAACCTCTGCAGATGATGATGTAAAATCACGAATCTTAGAGATTTCGAATAAATATAGACGTTGTTGATTGAAAAATACGATCAATAGGGAATTTAAAATTTTCCGCTATCATCATCACGAAATTACAGGGTCACACCTTTCTGCAAACCGCCATAATAGCAATGCCTAAAGCTAAAATTCGTGCCATAATTAATAATCAATATATCGATATGTCCTTGATTAATATAGTGATGTAAAGTGATGTAATAAAATTAAAAAAATATTACGATTAAAAAAGTATATTAAAGGTAAATAAATTCGATTTATAATTTATTATCTTTCGATTACCGTCACAAATTTGCAAGTTATCATCTAAAAATACAACTAAGCGAAAAAGATTGTGGACGTTACAACATTAGGTTTAAAATTAGATGAATTGCGACAAAGTTTTAGATGCAACAATGTTTATGGAATTAAAAAATGAGACTGAAGACCTTTTTATGTTAGAAGAAATTGGAAATAATAAAATTTCTGTTGAGAGTGTATTGAGTGATTCGCTAATACAACCTTTAGATAGGGATAGCGTTGATTCTAAATTGGTTGAAAACATTTAAATTTGACGTTGACGCTTTAGTAGATAACTTTGAAATTTAAGAATTGTTAAATAAGCTAATGTATTTTACAACAATAAATAAAGTTTTATTTGTAAATTCATATATATGTATATACGTATATGTGATAATTGTATACGTACCAGTTATATAATAATGTTAATAACTATCGCTATTAAACAGCTGTTAATTTAGGTTATGGCACACATTTTAGATTTCGGTTTTTGCTTCGAATTGCGGATAAATTACGACTTGCGGCCTTATTTCTACCTAATAATCGGGCCCTAAATATTTTCGGCACCGCAACTAGTTTCTACGACAAGTATAAATTAGGGGTTAGAGGTTAGAGGGACAAATAGTAAAATTTCACGAGGAAAATGTTTCCTTAGTAGCTTTTTTTAAGGTTAAAAAAACTGCTTTTGCTTTAAGAGTAGAGCTTATAATAAACATGTATAAGTGGGTTTAAGAAGGTTAAATAGAACTCCAAATTCATTTTAATCCAATTTCATTATGATCCGCGACAGTAAATGCCCCAACTTAGGCAACTGAAGTTACATTTGACTGAAATTTTTAAAACCTGAATTATTTAGCTGCCTAAAATTGCAACCTTAGGCAGGTGCTAACTTCAGGCAATATTTCAGGATTAACCAATGTGACGGGTAAATTATAGCTTGCCAAATCGTTTACTAGGGTTCATAAAGAAATGGATATCTATTATTGCATCGAACCTTATTTTTGGATTAAAAAAAGTGTTGTTCGTATTTCCTAGTGGTGAAACTAAATGTTTGCAAAGTTCAAAATGATTTTTAAGAAATGTACAGTTGGTATCAATAAAGTTTTTTTTAAAATCAGGTAAAGTAAAACTCGGGACATGTTTTTTTCACAAAAAGTTTCTGATGCTTTGTATTTTCTGCACGATTTGCAATATAAAAAATTCATCGTAGATAAACAAAGTGTCAATTAAAAAAAATTATTATCGTTGTTGATTATTAATCAAAATAAATAAATAAATTGTGCATATTGAGCCATCTGAACTATAAAATTGATATAACAACTATCGACGATTTTTTGAGTTTTGCTTACGACAAGAGGGATAGCTTATTTTCAGTAGTAGCTTACTTTCAATACATATGTTATTCAAGGCAAGATTATAACGAAAAGTTTCTCAAAAATTGTGAAAAAAATAATTTTATTTGCTGAAAAATAATTTATAAATACAGTTGACGGACAACAATTTAATCTTAATGTATTTTGTGATAATGATTTTGAAATTTTTCTGCTCAAAAAATTAATTATGTACAAGACGATATGGATATATAGATAGTTAAATTTTTGCAATTTTTTTCTAAATTTATGTTACATATGATTAAAAAACAAATTTTGTTATGTGTACAATAAAAAGCGTGTATAAATTTATATTTTCACCGATCATAAACTAACGTGCGTTACTCTTAAATTTACGAATGAAATAAGTCGATTTCGAACAACATAAATCGAAACAGCATACGAAAATTGACAAGTATTGCCACTGTTATAAGAAAAGCAACCCAAAATAATCACTTCAATGTATCCGATTTAGCACCAACAACAAACATATAATAAATGTTTTCTAGTTATATTTGTCAAAGCATTAACTTACATAATATTTTTCTTTATTCTTACTCATAATACATTTCTTTATTCGTTACTCGATAAGTTTCAGATTCCAAAAGTTTCTTTTCAGTCACCTCCATCGGAACTATAATCGAACCTTCGACAAACCATTATGCAATCATAACATTATTATAATATCGCTAATATAATGAAATTACTTTATTGTTGAAAACAGTGTTCAAATTGGGGGCCTGCAAATTGCCTATTTTTGTGGATCGCGGGTCCCAATGCAGAAATCTAGTTCAAATAAAACTAAACCGATAATGAAAATTTTTATTAAAAACATGGTCATCAAAAAAATGATACTTTTACACTGAGAGTTTTGTCAATTTCAACTTTTATGCAAATCGACAGAGTCAGTCGGTTACGCATAATTCACTTCAAGATGATAGCAATGTAATGAAATAGCGTTATATCTTTTTTAAATTAAAATTTTCCATGTACAAATATAATTTTTGAACATCACCCCTTACCCAGAGAACTAAAGAAAACAATCATTCTTGGCTTCGGAACATAATACAATTCTGATAAAATCGATTAACACAATCATTTAATCTTGCTATCCAAATACCTATAATTGAAACACCTTTAATAGAAAATAATAATATGAACATACAAGACTCATAAAATAAATATCTATCGCTATAGAAATAAAGTTAGAAATTATTGTCAAAATCATAGTATAACTTAAAAAAAGAAAAAAAAGAACAACGTTAAAACCTTGAGATTGTAAACTTTTTAGACTAACACTCAAAAAGATCAAAATGTTTCGAAAATAAACGACAGAATATTACATAATCCATATAAAAGAAAAAGAAATAAAACAAAATAAACCAACAACGATCGAAATGTTTCGAAAATAAATCGACAGAATATTACATAATCCATATAAAAGAAAAAATAAACCAACAATAAATTAAGACTTATCATCTGCAGAAATTTGGTCACTATTAAATGAAAATTCTTCAATAAATTCTTTATTTGAAATAGAAATAGCGACTTGTTGAACCTTAACTTGATACTGTAGTTCGGTAACTTGAGAACGAAGATTATTAATTTCTTGAATAAAGAAGGAATGCTGAGAACGGAGATTATGATTTTCCTGAGTAACGAAGGAATTCTGAAATTTCAAGTCAGCAATTTGATATTCTAAAAAAGCAATCCGAAGATGGTCCGGTTGACGTTCTGTAGGTTCAGAAGACCCAATACGAAAATTATGAGTACCGGGTGCGGAAGGATTATTAAAGGAAATGTTGCCAGAAGACCTAGAAACCCTTCGCTGTTGTTGTGCCATAGTGACAATTATAATCGACCGGCTGCCCAATCAGAATTTACTCCGCAGTTGAATCACGAGTCAAGTTATTGTATGGTGGTCTTTGAGGAAAACCGGCTCAATTTATAGAAAATATGAAATAATAACTAAAAAAACTGCGTATAGCATATCATCAAAGCTCGGACAGGAAAATAGCGCGAAAAAACATCAATAATTAAGTAAAAACACGCTATCAACATGACCGCGTTCGCTATTTCGAAGCCAGAATAGAGTAAGGTTGCTGCACTATGAATACATAGTATGAAATATATTTACTGTTGAACCTCTCAAAACCGATATGCATGGTGGACAGGTTTTGTATCAGTATCGAGAGGTTATCAGATTTGAAA